TGGGGGGCAATCCAAGGAAATGAATGGAAAAGGAGTGGGATCAGTACATGTGCTTATTCAGTTATTTATTGATTTGGAAAGAACAGTATTTCCCTGGGTCTGTAGGAAACTCTGGCTCAGAGTGTCCAAGTGACTCCAGTCTACAAACAATAGCTCTAGATCTGTCAGACACTTCCCAACCTCTCCTCCCTGCATGACAGCGACCAGTGATTTCATTTCTTTACCAAAAGTTGTTCCCCGGCTGCTGCGAGGCTATGCACTGTCCCACAGGAGCCGGTAGGCAGAGGTGCCTGGGGAGGGGAGGCCCATCACTGCCTGGGCTCCCAATGTGACCTGCGCCTGGACCTATCAGGCTGAAAGGAGAAGCTGGCCAGACAGGCCCAGCAGCCTCTGCCTTGCAGCTTGTAGAACTGGATCTGGGGCACAGGTTGCACAAGTCCTGCCCGGCACTTGAGGTTGGAGCTGCAGATGAGGGAGCTGTGAATGCTGTATCTGACCTGCATTTCTGAACATTCATGGATATGCCAGACAAATGGCAGGGTATTACAATTCTTACATTCCTCCTTCCTTAGGATATGTTCAAAATTCTGAGGGAACAGATCCCAAATTCTTCCTCTCTACCATCACAAACCCGCCCACCCCGACACAAACACCTATTTTTGGCTAAACCAAAGGCTGAGAAAAGAGGCCAAATTGCTACTGTGGAAAGGGAAGAGGGGGGCCTCACGTGTCTCTGGTCCTACACTCAGAAGCCACAGAGCCAGATTCCAATTTAACAAAGAAAGTTCATGGAGGCAGAGGGCGGGGTGGGTGGGGGAGTGTGTGCAGGCTTTGAAACTTTCCAACAATAATGTGCCATGCAACTCTGATCATAAATTAACCTACTTTTAAAAGCAACATGTAGGCTGGCCAGCACCCAGGCCTGCAGGAGCCTTGACCTGAAGCAGGGAGGGGTGAGACCAGCCCTGATCACAGACAGCCCTGAGGTCTTGGAGTGTGTGCAGCAGCCAGGCAAAAGGTACTGAGCACAGGCTCTCCCTCCCTGTGGCCCCTGTGGGGAAGGAGAGTAGGGAGAAATAGCAAGTCTGGGAGTCAGGGAGGCTAGAACTGCGTCTCTGACAAGGGGATTATGGGAGCAGACGCGTGGCACAGCAGGTTAAGGCAAAGCTGGTGCTCCTATCCCATATCGGAGCTCTGGTTTGAGTCCCAGCTACTGGGCTCCAGATCCAGCTTCCTGCTAATACACTCTGGGAAGCAGCAGAAAAGAACTCAAGGACTTCAGCTCTGCCACCCGGATGGAGTTCTAGGCTCTCCAGCTTGGTTAGACCCCGGCCTGGCTTTTGGAGGTATTTGGAGAGAGGAATCAGTGAATAGAAGAGCAATCTCATCTCTCCCACCCCTCTCCTATGTCTATCTCTGTTAACTCTGCCGTTCAAGTAAACAAAAATAAACAAACAAGCAAGCCACCATTAAGAAGAAACAGAGGGTAAGGTAGAAAGGGGGCAAGAGAGCAGCCAAGATTCCTGTGGGAGGAGGGCACACAGGCAGGGGAGGGCACTTTCACACCAGCTGTTCAAGCGGGGGGCTGAGCTGTCTGGCTCCAGGCTGCAAATGCCATATGCTACAACATACAAACTCTAGACCAGGGTCCTGAGGGCTCCCAGTGGACATGCCACTCTTATCTGGCTCTGCCAACCATAAGAAGAAGCCAAAGAGGTAAGGGGGCTCACATGCACACCCCACCTGCCCAGGTTTCTCCAGGCATTTGCTTGTGGCAAACTGGAGCCAAGAATGTGGTGCAGAGTAAGTAAGCTCGCAGCTCCCACTGAGGTATTTGGATCCTCCAAGCTCAAAAGCAAGTGAAATGGGGTGGCTGAGGAGCCAGGGATGACCCATTCTTTTATTTTTCTTTCTTTCTGACAACAGGAAGCAGCAGATGCCTAAGCAGGCTGATCCCTAAATCCTTCTAAGCTGAAAGCTCTTCATCTCCCAAAGTGAGCCATTCCCCAAACTCACCGCTGTGGGACAATCATCAAGAAGCACAGTGTAAGTCAAGCTGTTGAAAGCATCCATTTGCAGATACACTTTAATATCTGACTCAGGGCACGCCTGCCCCCAGGTTCTGCCTGCTCTGCCAGAGGAGAAAAGCCACTAATTTCACAGAAGGGTAGCTCCTTGGGATGCCGGATGCTCCTTTCCTGTGGCTGACAGCCAAGCACTGCTATATCTGCAGCTCTGCATTCTCCATGCAGCAGGGACAGGGGGTGATAATAGTGTATAGTGGAAGAAGGCTAGTGGCTGGGGTGAAGCTACACTTCCATACATGTTGGTTCAGACCTTGTGTTCCTTTGGAAGGTATTTTATTTTTATTTGAAAGGCAAAGGCAAGCCAAGGGATAGTGATGGGGAAGATCTTCCACCTGCTGGTCAACTCCCCAGGTGTGGGCCAGTCTGAAGCCAGGAGCTGCGAACTCCATCCACTTTCCATGCAGGTGGCTGGAATCCACATACATGACCTGCCACCTGCTACTTCCAAGTGTGCTTACTAACAGGAAGCTACATTAGCAGCAGAGCCAGGACTCAACCCTACATTCCATATAGGATGCGGACATCCCAGATGCTTAACCATTATGCTATTCAGCTGTCCCTATGAAGACTTTTTAAAAAAAGATTTATTTGTTTTTGTTGGAAAGTCAGATATACAAAGAGACAGATAATCCAATCACTGATTCACTCCCCAAGTGGCTGTAACAGCTGGAGATAAGCTCATCCGAAGCCAGGAGCTTTATTCTTTCCTGCACCGCATAGTGACCAGATATGGTCACCACATTTGAAGGCCGTGTGGGCTGCAAAATGTTACTGACAAAGAGGCAGTGTCCTGTTGTTGTTCAGGGTGAATGAAAGGGCAGCAGAAGCCTCAGGGATCACAGGGGAGGGCAGATCAAGTGAGAAGGGCCAGAGTACTGCCCCAGTCAGGGCAGCTTAGGGTCCTGTTAGATTTCAGGTCACCGTTTTGGGTCAGTCTGCCCAGCAGCCTTGTTGTCATTTCATAACCACACATTGTCCTCATCCATTGTCCTTATGCCCAGGAGCCAGCCCTCCCCTAGGAGATGACACTGAGACCACCAACGTCATCCTCTTGTCCTGTCCTGGGACACGGAAGCGCTCCAGTGTGAGCATCACGGAGCCACTGCAGGCAGACATGCACTCTGGACCACACTGCCACAGGCCTCTCCTGAGGGCTGGAGTCTCCAGCCCCTGCTCCCTCTGCCTTGGGGTTGGGCAAAAGTGTCCCAGCCCCGACTCTCAGCCTGTCCTGGGAGGCTGGGATTCAACAATGAAACTGTGCTGGGGTGTGAGTATAGCACCCCGAACCATGTGCCTTTAAAGCATGTTAAAAATCCAGAAGCAGCTCAGCCTGGTGCAAGATAAGGAAGAAAAATGAAAAATGCACTCGGCCACATCTTTACCTGTTGGTGATCGTGGGTCCCACATAGCATGGAGACATGTGGATGCCAGGCTGGGGGAGGGAAGTGGCAGCTATCCCACCATTTACTAACATTAACTTTCAGGTCCATGACCCTTCCAAAGAAGCGGCTTCCCCACCACCCAAATCTGTCTTTATGGGTATGCATATTTTCTCACTGAATGTGCTTCCGCTCTAGGAATACATCTTAAAACCTATATTTTCCTCTCCCCAGTTCACCACACCCTTGTTTTTCCTGGAAAGCCTTCAGAGTTTAAGAGTCCTGTGGAGATTTTTTTCTCTTAATTCCATCAAAATCAGGCAATGTTGGCAGGGTACTTCCGTCCTTTCACACTTCCCTCGCGCTAGAGTGGGTTTATAGCCACATTTTTTGTTAATAAGTGCCTCCGCATACCCGCCCGAGCCTGTGACTCTGATCTAAACCTCCTTCTTGACTTGAATTCCTTCCACAATCCACAACCCGCCTTGGCAAAAACTCTCCTGGCTCCTCCCTCCAGCCTTCCCAAGAGTGGATATCATTTTATACTTTTCCGCTCCAGCCTGTGACTCTGTCTCTCAGGGCACAAGCTGAGTTTGACAGGCCAGCCACAGAGCACATTGTAATGCCACGAGACAAGTTTTGGTTACATGTATTTCCAGGAAAGCAAGGCCAAGTTTCTGAACAGCTCAGAGCACTCAGGCCTCTCTGGACAGGGGCCTGGAATCCCACTGTCCCTGTGCACTTTGTGTGTGTTGCTTGGGGAAGACTGGAGAGGAGAAGCCACCTAAAAGCCCTGGACATGAGCCCAGTACAGAGCCAAGGCTTGTTGGAACTCCAACTTCTCCTTCCTTGATCTGCTGGTAGAAAAGTGGGGTCACCGGATCCAGATCCACCCCCTCTCCCACTCTTAATGCCCAAATGTTCTGATCCTGGGAGCCATCTGTGCTTTCCTGTTTTATGGCTTGACAGTTTCAGTTGCCCCATACAGCTCATCACAAAGACTAATCCGGCTGTGCTGGTTGAGTTCAAGGGCATGCGGGGGTGGGAACTCCAACCTCGGAATGACACGGAGGCTGTCAGGGTAATTCACCCAGCACCATCCAGCTACCAAATTGGAGTTCCACCAGGTTTGTCGACTTGGAACTCCCTCGCTGTGTCCACTTGGGTCGGCCGTGTTGATTAGCAGCTGCCTTCAGCTGGTGGACCACTCTCTGGGGCGACCCGGCAGAGCAGGTCTAAATGGATGATTTTTAAAGATTCTCCACTTACAGATTTCTGAACAAAGTATCACCCTCCCCCGCCCCCTCACACACACACACCCCCTCCGCGCGCGCCTCCCGGGGCGCCAACATACTTCTCTACCCCTCTTCCTAAGGCTCTGGAGCGCCCCTGGCATTCAACCCTTTTCATCCCCAGCCTCGATTGCAAGGCGCTGGGCTGGGGCGGCCACCCGCGCTGACAGTCGCTCGCCTGGCTGGGGAGGGGGAGGAGGGCCCGCAGCGAGGGACAGAGTCCCGGCCCGGTCCGAACCTACCTCATCGCCGAAGCGCACCACCTTCTGGCCCGTGGGTCCCCGCAGGCCCGGGAAGCGCGCGAGCTCCTCCGAGTCCGCCGGCTCCCCGGAGCCTCGGGGCGCCGAGGCGTGCGACCCCACCAGGCACCGGTCGATGATCTCGTCCTGCTGTGCCGGCGGCAGCCGCGCCCACTCGGGCCCGTACTTCTCGCGGATCTTTTCCTTATCCTGCATGATCTTCCGAGCCATGGGGCTCAGCGACGAGAAGTAAGTGAAGCGCTTCCGTTCCCGGTCGTCCAGAGGCCGGTTCCCGCTCATGACCGCCGAGCGCGAGGCTGCGATCGCCGCCGCCATGGACGCCATGCCCGGCCTGCCCGCCGCTCCCCTCCGCGCCCCGCCCCGCAGCCCGAGTCCCGCCCCCAGGCCTGGCTCCCCTCCTCCGGGACCCCGTTCCGCCCCCTCCTTCCGTGCACGGCCCGCCCCCTCTGCCAGCCCGTCCTCCTCCTCCTCGGGCGTACCCCGGTGCACGCACTTTTCCCAATTTCCCGGCTCTGGCGGTAGCTGGCTCGTGCCCAGGTGTTCCCCGGCTACGGTGCATTCGCAGTGGAGACAGCCATGGCGCCACGTGGTCAGGGCTTGACAAAGGAAACTTTTGTGTTTGCCTAAGAGAGCCTGGCGTCTTAGGACCAACTCCCGCTGCCTGTCCGCGCTGCCTCCCTGCCCCTTCCCCGGGGAGAGGCGAGAGGGACAGACTTGCTCGGTGCGTGCGGGCTGCCAGGGGCCGAGCTAGGGGTGAGACTAGACTAAATAACAACCCACCAGCGTGCGCCCCTGCAGAAGGGCAGAGCACGCAAAGGTACAACCAGGTGGATCACGCGCCTTCTCAGCGGGCCGAGTTGGGCTCAGCCAGTCGGGCACACAGGTGCGTGGCTTTGCCGCTGCGCAGCGGGCGGTTGAAGGAGCGGGGGAGCGCAAGGGGGAGAGGGAGCTGTCTCCCCGGAACCCGCCCCCTGGATTTGCCGTCCTGGGCCCTCCAAATCAAAGGGCAAGGTTGAGCTTGGAATCTCAGGAAGCGCAAGAATTCTGGACAGTTCAGATGTTTGCAAACACGCTCAAGAGCGGCAGGCCAGTGCTCCTAGTCCTGCTGGGAAACATCGTGTGTTTGTACACTGTGACCAGGGCCTGTCACACGGAACCTTCTTGCTGACCACAAGATTAAAATCGCCCAGCTCCTCCCCACCCCCCGCGTCCCGCTAATACGATGGTACTCGTTTCAGGTGAGAGTTGTTTCCATTCTCACGTCATTTCGCTGTTTGTTACTTGGAGTCTGAGGTACTATTTGCGTGATTCTGAACACTAACATAGAAATAACGTGTGCATTTCTATTTGAAATTTGAAGTAACCAACGCGGAAGTCTTAGGAATATGTTTGGAATGCGGTGAATGTGGCCAGCTCTACACCAGAAAATACTGCTGTGGATCTTGCTACCAGCATAACAAACTAAACTGTGAAAACAGCAGGACCCTTCCACCACCCCCAGAGAGTTGACTGGATAGCAAGGGAGAGTGGGGCTTACTTATGAAGCCACAAACTTAGGAAGAGAATGGAGGGAGAGAGGAATATGTATTATTCTGTTTCTAGTCCCTGTTATGTGCATTCAGTACACCAACCTGAATCCCACTGATTTCTTAAGATTTATTTTTATTGGAAAGGCAGATTTACAGAAAGAAAGGAGACAGTGAGAAAGACCTTCTGTCCACTGGTTCACTCCCCAAGTGGCCACAACTGAGCCCATCCAAAGACTTCTTCCAGGTCTCCCACGCGGGTGCAGGGTCTCAAGGCTTTGGGCTGCCCTCGACTGCTTTCCCAGGCCACAAGCAGGGATCTGGATGGGAAGTGGAGAAGCTGGGGCACAAACTGGCTAACCAGAGCACTGTCTGTTTCTTCGGTGTGACTTCCCTCACACTCTTCCAGGTCTAACTCAAGCCTAGCACCCTTGGGAAACTTTGCCTTCAGAAACAGGGCCACACAGCACTCATCCATTCCACGTGGCAGGCAGGATGCCCAGGTGCCAGGAATTGGATGTGGTTGAATGGTGTGTTGAAGACTGGGTCTGCAGTGCGGCAGCATGAAAGCTGGTGGGACCCTTGAGAGACAGGGTCTTGGGCCAGAACTGTTTCCTAGAGGGTAAAGCTACTGCCCATGATGCCAGTATCCTGTATGGACACTGGTTCACATCCCAGCTGCTCCACTTTCCATCCAGCTTCCTGCTAGTAGCCTGTGAAGGGCAGTGGAAGATGGCTCAATGGTTTGGGTCCCTACCACATATATGGGAGACCTGAAAGGGGCCTCTGGCTCTTGGCTGCTGTCTAGCCCAGCCCTGGCTATTATGGTCATCTGGAAAGTGAGCCAGTAGATGAAGGCTGTCTCCTCTCATCTCTCTCTCTCCTCTCTCTCCTACAGGTCATGAGGGTACTGCTTTCAGAGGGAACTAAGGTAGTTCTTGCAAAACCTTGGTTAGTGCCCATGAGAATGAGCTGCTAGAGACAGGAGCCCAGTCCCTGCATTGCTGTCTGACTTCCTCTTTGACCATGTGATTCCCTTCCCACACCCCAGCCAATACACATTCCTGCCATTGTGACGCTTCTAACCATGAGTTCCCCACCAGAGCTGGAGCCATGCATCGCACTTCCAAGGCCACAGGCTAAGTACAGCTCTTTGCCTTATAAAGTAACCTGCCTCAGGTAATGAAAAACTGACTTCATGTCTACATCCATCCTGGGCCTACCACTATCCTGCTAGATGACATTGAATGAGTTGCTGAGCCTGTCGTACACAGCAGCAGTTGAGACAGGACTGAGATGTGTGCAATTTATTTGGGAAGTGATCTCTGGAGGATGGAACAAGGAAATGGAAAGCAGAAAGGACTGGTTATTGCTGAGCCAGTGACCACTGCTGGGGTCCTGCTCTGCCAGACACCCTCTGAGAATCACTCTGAAATATCTCAGAACTGTCCCTTCTAAGCAGGGGATGCCAGGATCTTTATCTGTTGGTTCAGCTCTGACCTGCATGGTTGGGCACCTCTGGGAGACCTCAGAATTGATGAGAGTCAAAGGCCTTAGAGAAAAGTTCTGAGTTGATGAAGTCAGGTGCATTTGAAATTGGTCACCGTCATCAGACACCTGCCTGCCACAGAGTGAGCCAAGAGGGTGAAGTGTGTCTCTCCTGAGGCTCCGAAATTCCTGACACTCAATTTCTCCACCTTTAAGCTGGGGGTCTTTAATCTTTGCAGAACCAAAGATAGCATTCACTTCTTTTTCTATCACCTATCTCAAAATGCCTGCTGCACAGGTGAGTGCCAAGTATTTCTTAGTAGGAGCAACTGTTGAATGAATTTGCTATCTCAAACAAATACTTTGTGAACCCACTGTCCTGTATGGAGAGCCCCGAGAGGTCAGAGAAACACCACAGGACTTGCCTTCTAGTTCCACTCCAGATAACTGAGTGAGCCACTGGATTTCCTGAGCCTGCTGCTGAAGTCCCCAGTTCTGTAGCAAGCAGATGAGAGCCTAAGAAGGGAGTCTCTGGCCCCTGGGTCCAGCAGGGCCATCTGCAGAAAAGCTAGCCTTTCTGGCGCATGGTTTCAACACAGAGGCAGGCAAGGCTCCCTGAGGACAGTGATTCATGCCCACATCTGTTACTGTTTATTCCAGATGCTGCCTACAACAGGCTCCTCTCTGTCCATCCTTCCATCCTCCCCCTTCTTTCCCCCTTAGTCCTAGAGAGTGGAAGATGGACAAGAGGGAAGCTGCTTTCTTTACGGAGAATCATTGTGTGATTGGAGGGCAGTGTTTGCAACCAAGATCAAGGAGGGAAAACGTGAGAAAGGGAAGACAAGAAGATGGTTTAGTTACAAATTTGCTCTTCACCAAAACTGAATGCCTCGGGTTGCCTTTCCAATGGCAGGGAGAATTTCCCCGAGTTGTCATTGTCTGTCACTAAGTGCAGCAAGTTTGGAGCATGTTGGGTCCACAGCCTGGAAGAAAATCATTTTGTGGGCAAAGCCACATGACTCACATAAGGATTTCTCTACGTCATAGCTAGCAAAGATAACTGCTCTATGACAAACGCTAAAACCTTCTCAAAATAGCAAAGTGACACCTCTTTCCTGCCTCAATGTTTACATTTAGAAAAGACTTTGAGATTTTTTTAGCCCCCTGTAAAAAGACAGAAGACTTTAAAAAGTCCATGGAAAACAAATTTAAAGGTTATTGATTTTGATTTAAAACACTGTTTAAATGTGTCCTTTGTTTTGTAACCTGCATTCATCATGAGCTTTGCTGAAGACTCCATGTATGCATGGGTTTCAGAAACCTTTTGAAACAAAAATCTTTGAAATCCATTTTTTCTACCCTTATATAAATCATTCTGGAAACTGTTGTTAATTTTTTTCCCCTTTATCTGGAATCCCCATCCCATTATCACTAGTGGCAGCCACTCAATCCTTAAGCCACAGGTCAGATGTCTTTTCTCCAGAAAGTCTCCATGATCTCCTAAAAGATTAACATTTTCTGGAGACTGAAGGCAGCACCAAAGGGACTTCTTACCTCCTTTATGGTTGGCCTGGAAGGAATAATGTCAACACTTTGCTCTTACACATGTCGAAACAGCTTCAAATTGAGATAGATCTTTGTTTAATCAGAGTGTGTAAGCGTATATTCAAGAGGTGGGGAAGGTGAGGAGGACAGAAATGATCAATGGCTAGGAAGGTATAACTCTAAGTGGCTATGATTTATGGGCTGAGCAATAAAAGGAATTTCTTTCTGTCCTCTTATAAGCCATCTATTCAGAATTTCTAAACGCTCCCAGATGTGAAGATGTGAAAGCATTTTCTTCTTCATGTCTTTGGGCTACCTGATGTTTGTTAAATGGGCTCGGAGGCCTTGCCTTGCAGATGCTGCTGCTCTGAAGTCCACAGATGGCCATCTCCAGCTCCTTTGGTGTCCGGGAATCCAGCAGCTGCACCTGCTGGACAGGAGACTCCAGTTTGTTCTGTTACCTCTCTCATCATTTACAAAAGTTCAGAGACTTGGTTGAAACTGTAGGCAATGGAAAAGACTGACTTAGGTGGAGCAGATATTTTTCCCTGCTTCAGTTTCATTTAGGTCCTTTTATCCTATTAACCTGAAATGCTATCAGAAGATGGAACGAATGAGGAGGACAATTATAGAGAAGTGAGAACAGTTGCCCTTTAAGAGCCCACACAATAGGAAACAAGGAAGAGCAGTTTTTTTCTTTTGGGGGGTGGGTTCTCTGCCTCAGGGAGTGGAGGCTAGGCTGGGGCCTCACAATGCTTTTCACATTGTGAGTAGAGGAGGGACTCATGCCAATGACTCGCATCCTAGAAGTCATACTGTCATCTAGCTCATGACTTCGCTCTGTGCTTCACCTCAAGGAACAAGTGCAATGGTCTCCAGATACCTCTTGTCCTCACCTTTCCTTTTCCACTATCAGCACTCCAGGACTTGCAGTCCACTGGGGTGTGCCTGACCTTCCCCATTCAGGTTGTTCCCCCTCAGGTTGCCCTGTATCTCTTTGACAGCCTCCTCCTCCTTAACCAGCGCTCCACCTGAGTATCTCTTCCTTTTTGTTATCACTTTAGACCTCAGCTCTCTCTGACCCTGACTGACCATCACCAGCCACACCCATCCCCAAAGCCTCAGTCACTTTCACCCTGTCTTCATTCACCTTTGTCTTTGGTTTCAAAGTCCTTCCTCCATCACAGCAGGAAGAGAACTGTGGATATTAACTGCTGCATAAGACAGTGGCCAAGCAGCTCCAGTGACAACTGATGGCTCCAAGGAGACCACTGTGATCATACAGGTGGCCATGTGCCCACTTATAAGCAAACAGTCCCCAGAGAGCCCCCTGACCTGTCTCCTTTCCCACCCCCTTGCCTGGCTGCCCTGCCACCTCTAGCTGCTGTTATCTTCCCCAAGCCAAAGAGGTTCCCAGTTCTAGGACATTCCTGCTGGTCTCTTGAGCAATTACTGAATTCAAACAAACAAAACCCACAAACAGAAATAGGGAGGGCTCAGATTAAATTATTTTGGAAGCATGAAATAGAGACCAGAGAGATCAAGAGAGTTATATTTCAGAATTATTCATTGTGTTCCAATAGTAAAAACAAAAAACCAATATTTGGAGGCCTGTGCCATGGTATAGTAGGCCAAACCTCCACCTGCAGCACCTACATCCCAAATGAATATCAATTTGTGTCCCAGCTGCTCCATTTCCAGTCCAGCTCCCTGTTAATGGCCTGGGAAAGTAGCAGAGGATAGCCCAAGCTTTTGGGCCCTGCACACACATAAGAGATCTGGAGGAAGTTCCTGTCTCTTAGCTTTGGACTGGCCTGCTCTGGCCTTTGCAGCTATGTGGGGAGTGAACCAGCAGATGAAAAATCTATCTCCCCCTCTCTCTCTGTAACTTCGGCTTTCAAATAAAATAAAGTAAATCTTAAAAAAATATATAAAATAAAAACAGTGGCTTGATTAAAAACTCATTTCACTTTAAACCAGGAATAGAAGCAGCAAAGGTCAGACCCTTCATGCAGCATACACTGCAGGGTGCTGGCTGAGCCTGCCTCCTGAGGTTAGCCTTATCTCCTAATAGCAACCTTCATCTAGAAAGCTCTAAGTGCTTCAGCTACATCAGTCCCTGAGACCTAATAACATATTTTAAAATGATGTTAAATTACATTAATAGCTGGTGGGAACCACAATAGGAAAGCCCGAGCTCACAGAGCACATCAGTGTTAGCATGGGACTGACACTCGTACCTAGAACCTCAGTGTTGTGTGCCATCACAGGAGGGTATTCACTGCACACCCATGTGGTCAGTCAGTCATCCTGTGGCAAACGCTGTGCTCGTGCCAAGGAAATGACAATGAATAAGACCATGGGAAACAAGCATAGAGACAGAATGGCGAGCACTGACAGGTACCTGGCGAATGCTTACTGTGCCTGGCATTCTTTCTCATGGCATCTCTGTGAAGAATACATCGTAAGGACAAAGGAACAGAAGCTCTAAACACCAAAACCTGCCCCGTACTTCTCTCCTAGTGGCTGGCAGAGAAGCAGTGCCCACGTTACTCTTTTCCTCCAGCTCCTGTTCATCCATTCCCTGGGCCAGTCTCCAAACGACAAACACCAAGTCTATCCTAGAACATCCTTCCTCTCTGTAAGTGTCTTGTTGGATATCCCTTGAGTTCCTTCTTCCCCATTCATTTTGTTGTGGTACAGCCTGAAATAGTTGAAGAGATGGTGTTTATGCTCATGGTTCTGAGATATGCTCCCAAATTTCTACTCCCAAGAATAAGCCCATCCAAATAGGAAATGCCAAGTAGTGTTAAGAAGCATTAATGGGTCCTTTAACATTAGTGAGGGTCCACTGTGGGTCAAGGACTACAGAGATGCAAGAACATCCTCCTGTCCTTGAGGAGTCCATGGTTCTCTGACAACTACATGCCTAATAATCACGGCATAATACAGCAGACAATTTATTTGTTACAAGTAAGCAGGAGGTATGGTGAGCTGCAAGGAGGAAGTATTTGAGTGCTAGGGGAAGACAAGAACAACTGAGGAAGGATGAGCATTCACCTGGCTCCAGGAGAGGAAGAGTGGGGAGGAGGGAGCAGAGGGGCCAAACCTGAGCAGAGAGGAAGAGCAGGCAGGCAGAGGCCACTGCAGCTCCACTGAATCAGGGCACTCCTCGGAGATGTTATGTGCATGGGTTGGATATGGTTTCAGTGTACCCACGGGGAGGGAGGGACTTGTGTGTTGTATGCTTGGTGCTCAGTGTGAACCAGTGAGAGGTATTTGATCATGAGGATTGTGTCCTGGGAAGGAAGTAACTGTGTTTCTGTGTGACCCAAGTTGCTCTCAGGGGAGGACTGTTGTAAGACAGGGAGCCTGAGCCCTCTCCATTTCTTGATTTCCTGTCTCATCATGCAGTGTCTCTCTTCCACATGCACTCCCACCATCATGCCCTCTGCCATGGGCCCCCCACTGAAGGCCACACAGACAGGGCTGCTGATGTTGAAGTTCTGGTCTCCAAAACTGTAAACTAAATACTGTATCAGTACTGATCTTCAGGTACTTATTAAAATAACAGCACAGAGGAATGGAGTGAGGACGATGGAGTGGGAGAACGCTTGCTGCTTTCCACATTGCATCATCAGGCACTGCTTCCTTTGCTTCTTTCTGCTGGCTGCTCTTCCTTCCCTGCTCCACCCGCTTTGGACGAGGAACTGACCTCCTCTCCTTCTGCTGCCTTTGTAGGCCTCATGATAGTCACAGAAACTCAGAAACCACAGCTACAATCAACCCCCCCCCCACACACACACACATATACACACAGAATCTGGTACATGCGTCAGAGGCATCCTGGCTGTCCAATGGCTAATTTTTTTCTCCAACTGAAATGCCTTGAGAATTGCAACTGGCCTCTCTGTTCAGCTGAGTGCTTTTAGAGCTTTCCCTCCATGGAACAAATGCTATGCTGAGGGAGGTGCCTCTGAAGCGAGACTCCCTGCTTTCAAGACTTGTGGTGCCAAAATGCTACCTTCTGTGCCTCAGTTTCCACATCTGTAAAATGGGAATGGTTACTCTGTATAGACCACTTTGGAAAGCCTCTATTGGATTTAAAAGACTGTTCACACGTAGACAACTGCCTGGAGCAGGCCAAGCTGGCAAAGCTATTGGAGACTTAATGTTTAAACTCAATCACTGGAAGAGGTGGGATTTGGCTGGGTTGAGTGGTCATGTGGATACATGGAAAGTTGATATGGAGTTGACTTCCCAGGAGTCAGGAAAGTGGCAGCCCTCCTCTGGCCAGGCTTCGGGTAAGATCAGAACTGGCCATGTGGGGAGGAAGAACACCCAATCCAGAAAAGCTGAAAAGGAAGCACCTGGAGGGCAGGGTAAAAACCAGGGCAGCCCAGCGCAGCAGGCAGCAGAGAGACAAGGATGAGCAGCTGGGAAGGAGGCCACAGGCATGCAGAGGCGTGGGGCCCAGAAGATGGGATTGGAGTCCTGCAGCCTTGCCCCAGGATTGCTGCCACACAGCACTGCTGTGGTCCCAGCACTGTAAGCCAAAGAGATGGCTCCTAGAGGAACTCCCCATAGTACCTTGCCCTGCTGCTTTTCCTGTCTTCCTCCAGGCCAGAAATGTCCTCCTTAACCCTAGAAGAAATGAAGCCCGAGAAGAAATGAAGATCCTCTGCAGCTCCACGGGGCTTAACTGGGGGCACTGCTGAAGGTTCAACAGCATGGATGCCCGCCGTGGACTCTGCAACCTGATCTGCAGTAGGGTGCAGGGCCAAGTGACAGCTCCTTAGGAAGGACCAGAGATGTCCCTCTTCTTCCAGGCTGCATTGTCTCCCATGGCTAGGCTCCTTCTCAGCTTACAGCAAGGGGGATAGGTGCTGTGGTCAGCAGGCTAAGCTGTTACATCTGAGTGCCGGGTTTGAGTCCTGGCTACTCCACTTCAGCTTCAGGCTAATGCACACTCTGGGGGGACATCCGGCGATTGCTCAGATAATGAGGCCCCTGCTGCCCATGTGGGAGACCTGGGTTCAGTTGCTGGCTCCTGGCTGAAGCCTGGTCCAGCTCTGACTGCTGCAAGCATCCTGGAGAATGAACCAACAGATGAAATATCTGGAGCTCTGTCTCATGCTCGCTCGCTCTCTTTCACATAGAGCTAACTATTTTTAAAAAACAAACAAGTGAGCATTGAAACTATTTACCTGGGTAGAAACTGCTGTCAGTCCCTTGCCATTTGTCTATGCATGGAGCATTTCCTCTAAGTTGCAGACTCATGCCTTGCTGCCCCCTTCTTTCACCAGCTCCAGATAAGCATCATCTCTTCCTGCCTCCTGTCCCCATAAACTGAAGCCTCCTTCAACAGCCCCAACATGTTGTATTTTGCCTTTCAGCCATCATGTATAGGACCTTGGATTGGACCACCCTACCATGGCCCCAGGCCTCTGTGGGACACTCTACTCCCTGCAGATTTGTGTATACTTCTCTCCTCGCTCCTTTGGTATCCTTTGTCTTATTTACACTTGACTGACACATCACAGTGGTACAAATGGGTGGGCTTTCTCTTGTTTGTTATTTTTTTTTTTTTACCTAAGCATAAGGCCTGACCTTCCCTTCTCGCCTGCTCACCCTCCCTGCATTAGAATGGCCTATTGCGGTCACTGCCTCCCTTCTGGCACCACCAAGACATACCCATAGGTCTTCTCAGGAAGAATAAATGCCATTTCACAGGCACCTGAGACTCTGCATTTCACCAGGCTTCTGGATACTGCAGATTTTGCCAGCTTGCAAAGCACACTTGGAGTAGTGAGGTCTTTGCTTAAAAATCCACCTGCAGAGAAAGAATGATTAGGTCTTCTACAATGACAGGACCAACGGCTTTCTGTTCCAACCTACCTTACGAGCCCCATTTGCAAGCTACCCAAATGATGACTCCCACATAGTTTGACATTTCTGGACATCTCCCAGCTTTGCTGCTCATCCTCCAAGGGCCAACACACTCATCACCCCACTCCATCTCTTACCATCTGACTCTGTAGGCATAATTAGGAAAATTTTCATTTTCCACAAATGCCTTTTTACTTTGTCCTCTTATAGTTACCATCACTTTGTATTATTTATACCTTCTGTCTCAACCAAGCCCAAGATCAAGCAACCCAGGGAGCAAGAAAGATATTCAGCAAGAAAGCAGAAAAAAAGAGACTGAAAGCCAGAGCAAAGCTATGTCCATGGACAGAGTCAGAGAAAGGAGAGACAAGCTGAAGACTAAGCCAGAGCACAGTTACAGAACTGGTGGATGTGGGAGTGAGTGACAACTATGTCAGGAGGTTGGAAAGATCCCCAAAGCCCTTCCTGACCCACCCGAGGTTCTGCCTACAGCTTGGCACTCTGTTCCTCTCTCTGGAGATTTCATGGATACCTTCCTATCCACTTTGGCTTTTCCAGGTTTGATTACATCTCCAATGTACCTCATAAGATCCACACCCAAACCTTCTATAGGGATCCTCCCATCAAGGGTCTGCTTCCGGCTAAATAAAGGAAGATAAGTTCCCGAAATCACCTTGTCCACTAGTCACTTTTCAGGGCAGAGATTCCATGCGAACCCCCCTCCCTAGCTCCCTCACTGCATCCCACAGCAAGCAATCAGGTAGCTGAGGGGAACAAGGTGATCACCCATTGCCTCCCGAGAAAAATGGGCTTTCTCTGGCAGTCTATTTTTTGATCATTTCTATTCCTATGTGCCAAGCATTGTGCACATTATGCAAATGAATACTAAAGACAGTTTTAAAGGTATGATTTCTAAAACACATTGATTCCAAGCCAGGACATTGTTCAAGAGCTCTGCTTGGCGAAAAATGCAATTAAATAAAATGTGACCCTACTTTCAGTAACAGCTACTGAATGGAACTCTTCCAAACTATTTCTCAAAAGAGCCACTTATTCTTTCTAGGTAATCTTCATGTCATTTTTGCATTGGCTTTAGAAATTACAGAATCCCTGATTCAGGATGTAAGCAGCGAATTGTTTTCTTCCCATCTTAGGTAAGTTTGTTTAATTTAGCAGTTAATTTTAAAAAGCTATTTTGTCCTGATTTAAAAAAAAAAGGCAAACACCAGCATAAATACCTGGGAAATGGAGAAAACACAGACATAGACTTACCAGGAGGATATCATATTGTAAACATTTGTCTCTCTTCATATACTTGCATATTGTACTAAAATTTACATAATCGCTATCCCTGATACATAGTAAAAACTAAATATCACTTTCCATTTCCTGCCTTTCACCCAACACGATTATGAATCTTTCTCTAAATTCCTTGAGGAACATGAGTTTAATAACAACATAGAATTTCAAAATAAGAGAATACGTCATTTAGCCTACCGAACCTCCATTTGGGTTCTTTTATAACCTCTAGAAGAAAGGTCCTCAGCTTGGCGCTGTACCTCCCTGCCCCCCAGGAGGTGACCCTGGCCAGTTTTGTACCACAGGGCTCTGTCTCCCTAGGAACAGGCCAGGGTCCAGCAGAGTACTTCAGGTAGGAACCTGAAGCTTCAACAGAAAGATACAAGGAATCCTACTATTTTCAAATGTGATTTTGAAAACAGTCCCAGAATTGTGACTTCTCCAGAGCCCTCATTGCCTGTCTTTGCCTACAGTCAGGCTTCAGAAAAGATAGGGCCAGGCTCCAATCACTGTGGGAAATTCTGGTAGACAGATTGCTGAGTTGCCTTCCAGAGAAGGCACATCTACATTGCAAGTGTCTGGATTTTTCAGACCAATGGCATTCCTGGGCATAGTTCTCGCTCAGAGGAGTCTGTTGTTTGAGTGCTGCTGGAGGCAGAGGTGTGAGCTTGCCCACTGGCATGCGCATAAGCAGCAGAGCTGTAACTTGCACTTGCAAGAGTGGGTGCATGCTGTCATCTCCGTTGATGTGTGTAGGCACATGGCTGGGGTACAAATGGAATTTTCCTTTTGAAAGGCTGAGGTTTACAGTAATTTTCCTAATTTCAAACAGAGAACTGTTCCTGTAAATTGCAGTAATCCGAGCCTGCCTGCAAGAAGGCGGGAGGCTCCTGATGCCATCATCTTAAAGTCATTTTAACAACTTCGTGCTCACTCCTTGCTTCCTGCTAATCAGTCTCTCCAGAAATGGCAACAGGAAGCAAGCTGAAGGAGCTCCCTGCAGGGCGCTGAGCTACCTGATGCTTCGGACGGCCTCACAACCATATGGCACCATGTGGACCACAGGTGTTACTGTTCAGGAGGCCACAGAGGCAAAACTTCCATGATTTGCTATCTTGGCTTCTCATGATCCTAATCACCTCTGGGCTCACCAACACTACACCAAGGCCAAAGCAAACAAAGGTAAGGCTTGGCTGTGCCACACAGCACAGGCTGCCTTCCTCCAGTCCCTGCTAAGGGGGCACATACTTTGGCAGCTCTGCAGCCTCTCATTGGCTGCCAGGAATCATCCCAGTTTACACATGGGGAATCTCTGCTGTCCAATGTTAGCAAATTGGTAGATGTTATTTATCCCTGAAGACTAGCTTATTTATGATGCTGCTACAGTAAACAGAGGTGGGAGATTTCTCCATCACGTGGTCAGGTAGGCACCAGAGACAAGTAGAGAATCAGAAGAAATTTATTCACTCTTGGACTCAATGGAATCACCTCCAGAATGTCTGAGCTCTGAATCAAGCATCCCTACAATATTTCTAGATTCACCACTTGTGGGTTCAAGTTGTAGCCTATATGGCTTAGAATCGCACATAGGAGACAGACTCATGTGATTGAGACTATACTTGAAGAAAGTCCCCCACCCTGCCCCCAAGATCAACTGGTCAAGCAGACTGATGGAAGGAAAAATAGAGTAGGCAATGGGACATTTTTCTTTTATGGACAGAGTAAATGCAGGCAGCTCTTTTCACTGGATAACAGTGGCCACAGCCACATTCCAAGGTATCTCTGGCCATTTTCACCTTTTGTATTTCCCTCCTTAACCAGGTATACAAAGAAGCACACAATTTTCACTACTTCAATGTGAAGATGATAAACCGACACTTCCAGGTTAGTCTTATGGCTTCCCACTTGCCCATGTCCTAAGGCACAAATTGTCTTGCTCCACTAAATAGTCTGATGACCTGGTCAGGCTAGAGCTTAACACCTACAGACTTCAGGTGTAAGCCTTGGTGTCTCTTGCACCAGAGACCTGCAACTGACTGGTGATTTTGCCACACTGGTTACCCATTTCCCGGTAGCCCCTTCAGAAACCTCCAAATACCCTCATCTGGCAGAGTGGTAGTTCTGGGGACCCTGATATCTGCTACCTTCTCATCTACTGACAGATTAAAGGGTCTCTTTCCTTCACTCCAAAACCTTGCCCTCGTGATTTTGATTTGGCACCACACTCAGAGACCAGCCTCTGTTAACACTTCAACACCAAACCAACAGAGATAAAGACCCTCAGTGTCTGTCAGAACATAGCCCGAATCAATGTTCTCTATGTCTCACATGAGGATTAAATAATGCAACACAAACACTTCACACAGTTTATGGCAAAACATAAACATTCAACAACTATGAGATACTTTATTATTTTTATTATTATTTTCATCAAACTATTTTGTTCCCTGATTCAACCATGAGTGGGCAGAGCCTAGGCCCGTATTATTTTTATTCCCTAGCATTTGACTCAGTGCCTGGTGCTCACAGTGGGTTCTGTTGTTTGCTGGATGAATGGATGAGAGATGAGTGATTGAGTGGAGATAGGCTTTTGTTGTCAGTAGTCTGCACCCTATGTTGTTCCAATTCCTTGAATTAATATTAAGAAAAGAACATAGAGAAAAGTTTTCACAACATATGCTCTTCATCTCTGCTACGTGGACATCATGTCTCTTGTCTACCGTGTGATGGCCTAAATGCCACAGTCAATGACATGCTTTTCCTTAGACCAAATAAATAAATAAATAATGAACAGATTATCTATACTTGTGCTTAAGAAACTAGAATAACTAATGCATTATATGGTTGAAGCTGCTTTTCAAAAAGCATGGGTCTAGAGTCAGGGTCTATTTGCTAATGTTCCAAATTGCTTCAGGTAGAGCCATAAACACAAGGAAAGAATAGAGAAACATGTGTATATTTAAAACAGAGATGCAGGGACCATGCGGTCTCAGAACTTAGGGCTGTGGTCACCTCTAGGGAATGTCAAGGTCTACGGGAGGAGATCAAGTTGGGGAGGAACATGCAACAGGTATTAATCACCTGCACAGCTCAAGTTTCCTTTCGAAAGCCAGGGGAGCACTCAGGATTCTATGCTCCAATATATATATATATACACTAGGTGTATTTTAAGTACTTTTGTTTTGTTTTAAGATCCACTGATTTATTTGAAAGTTAAAGTAATATATAGAGAGACAGACAGAGGTCTTCCCTGTGTTGGTTCATTCCCTAACAAAGGTCAGGACTGAGCCAGGTGAGAAGCCAGGAGCCAGGAGCTTCATCCAAGTCTCCCGTGTGGGTACAGGGACACAAAGACTTAGGCCATCTGCTGCTTTTCCCAGGTCATTAGCAGGATCAGAATTGGGATGGCTGGGACATGAACCAGCATCCATATGGGATGTAGGTGTTGCTGGTGGTGGTGGCTTTATGTGCTATACCACAAAGCTGGCTCCTCCAGTATTAATCAATTGAAAGCAGCACTACAGATTATGAAGCCAGATCAAAAGGGAAATACAAATGACCAATAAATACATGAAGAAATGTTTAAGTTGGAGGAGGGAAAGTGAGAGGACTTGCATAAGGAGCCCCTAGACAGAGCAGCTAACAGCCTCACCAACAAAACAGGGGGTAGCAGCCCAGCAGTGGCAGCATTGCTTCTATTCTCTGCAGAGACTAAAGCAACTCAGAGTCACACTTTGCCTCCAGCTTTTGACAATAAGGACAGAACACCTATCAGCAGGAATCACAGAACAAAAAAGGAATTTGAAATTTTTCCCAACGGTGCTTCTGAGTCTTGTTTTTCCATTCTGAGCATGGAAGAATAAAAGCAGTTACAACTATGAAGGGCTGGCATTTGCGGATGCCATTTTGAGTCCTGTTGCTCCACTTCTGATTCAGCTGCCTGTTAAGATGCCTAGAAAAGCAGCAGAAGATGGCACAAGTACTTGGGCCCCTGCCATCCACATGGGAAACCCAAATGAATCTCCTCCTGGCTCCTGAACTCAGCCTGGCTCTGCCCAGGCCATTGTGGCTACTTGGAGAGTATAGCAGTGAATGAAAAATCTTTCCCTCTTTCTTTCTTTGTGTGTGTGTATGTAATTCTTTTAAACAAATAAATAACTACCTCTTTAAAAAAAAAAAAAGATTATGGGGTCCAGCAAAATGGCGTAGTGGCTAAGTCCTTGCCTTGCACATTCCAGGATTCCATATGGGTTCTAGTTCATGTTCTGGCTGCTTCACTTCCCATCCAGCTCCGTA